CAAGCGACCGGCCCCGCGCGGCGAGGGCATCGCCGCCGTCTTCGCCTCGGATGCCCGGGCTGCCGGCCCTTTGCCTGAGGCGGTCTCCCCTCGCGGCTGTTAAAATGGGGGTCTCCCCTCGGAGGGCTCTTCTTCCTCCTCCTCCAGCAGGCGTGAGCTTACGAGGGCTCAGTGCCTTTTTGTGACTTCGCACCTTGGCCTTGTTGTAAGTTTGGGGCTAGTTCGGGTGGTAGTTTTAAACAGAGGTGTTGTCAGGGTGGCTTGAGTAATTTTGAGACCTGTCGGAGAGAAGAAAGATTTCTCTCTTCTAACTTAAAAAAAAATGCCGTCAGCCAAGTGCATGCCATGGGCTTGTGTGTTTTTAACCAATATCATAAAGATGAATGAAACCAGAGGACCTACACCTGCAAATGGTGCCACTGGTACCAGGCTGACGGGAAGCCACCTTCATGTGCAAGAGATTGGCCATCACAGCATGGTGGTAGTGTGCCTGTGGGTTTTCCCACCTCCTTTTTTCTGTTAATGGTGCCATACACCTCATCAAAGATACTGGATTTCTGTTGCATGAGCACTTGTGCCTTTCTTGAGGCATAGCACCAGTGACAGCCATGCACTGTGCCTCCCTGGTGCGCCTGCTTTGCTGTTTTGCCGTTGTCACCCACCGAGCTGGAAGGACCGTGTGAACTGTGGCAGCAGCAGTACCGCTAACATAAGTCCTGCCTAGCAGGGTGTCATTTCCACTGTTGACCTGTGGAGCAAATGTTCCTTATAGTAAGCAAAATCCTCGTTCACAATTTTTAAATAGCGAGGCTTATATTTTAATCGCTGTCTTTTAAGATTATGCTTAATACATTTGACTAAAATGCAAGTATAGCCAAATTATTTTTAAAAATTGTTACTTTTGGTGCTGCTGTTTATTCTGTCACTGTCTTATCTTTTTAATTGTTAAGTTGTGGTTTTAGCAGTGTTCTTTTCTGCTTACGTTACAATGCTGCCAAAGCCTCAGTGGAAAACTTAGGAAAATAAATCTGTTTATGTTGTTTGTTATACTTGCCACCTTTATTTGCCTAGGGACTTTTGCATTAAATCAGTTCTCGTTTTGAATGGTACATCTGCTTTACTTGCTTACTGCTTACCTGAAGCACTAATGCTTGGTTGACTGCAGGGCAAGCAGCAAAAAAACTCTCCCTCCATACTTTTTTCCTTGTAATTGCTGATTGTAAGGCAGGCTATGGTAAAATGAAGAATAACTGTGTGAAAGTGGTGCTAACAAGGTCATGATTTCACATATATGCCTACATGGACAAACAGACAGAAAACAAGTACGTAGTATACTGCCGTGTTGCAAACAGAAGTATTTGTGCTGAGCAGGTTGGGGTTTTTTGATGCCTTTGTGTAATCTCAGTGGATCCTTGAGCTTACATTCCACTTTTCCCTCTGATGACTTGAACTTTAAGTTCCAATAAAATAGTGAAATGTAAATGAGTAATTATTTGACATGCTATCCTTCCAGATACCTCTTAGCCGAAAGAATAAACTTAATGTACAAAACAAGGAGGAAGAAATTGCTCGGTGGCATTCATATGAGGGGCTGGCTGGTGGGGCAGAGCAGCCTGTGACCTTCCTCAGTACCCTGCTTACCTAAGAGGCCTCTTTATTGGTCTTCTGTTGCCACAGACACTGACAGCAGAATGCATGTCAGGCCTGGGTACTATAGAGAGCTACTGAACTACAGCATTAAGAAAAAGGCTGTATCTGCTCCTTGTGCGTATGGAGAGTGAGCACCTGAGGAGGCCTAGGAGCAGCATCAGACTCAAACAGTCTCCCCTTTAGGTCTGTTATTTCTGGGAATTTTTGTGCCTACATACTGTTGGTTTCAGCTGTATTAATGTCCTGTGCAGTAGCTGTGAAAACATATTACGATCATGGAGAATGTGAAGTGTACCATAGGTGATATGGCGATGAATAAGGAGGAAAATATGAAAGGCAAACGAACAGAAAGGAAACTTCTGGTATCTAAATTTCAGTGCTTGGAAGTTATGTGCACCAAGTATAGGTATGGTGCTTTAGCCCAGATGATGTAGTGGGCAAAAAAAATGTTTACACATCCCATTCTTCAGTCTCCACTTTTATCCATAAGAGAAAATACAGCATTTCCTTACCAGACATTGGAAACGCAAGCTAGGAAATCCTGTGATGACGAACAGCTCTGTGTGACTTTGATGTAGACTGAAGCACAGCTGTAAAGTTCAGCTTTCAGGGATTTAAATACCATTTGGAAAAAGTGACAACCGTTTAGCCATTTCTCTGTGGAGGATTGTTTTAGCCAGGCAACAGGAAAATGAGGAGTGACAGAAGAACCTGATGGCAAGAGTGTAAAAATTCAAAGGTGGTCTCAGCAGCCCTTTTGTGGTACTCTGTGCACAGTGAAGGCCTTACTCTGTGGCTGCTGGACATCAGGGAATAGGCCAGGATCCCTCTCTGCAGCTTGTTTTGCCTTTGAATGTCATAATGGCTTTTGGGGCTGGTTTGGTTGGGGTTTTTTTGGTACATTCCCTCTTCCCAGTTTCTTTGTTTATGTACCAGTTATGCTGGGGGACATGAGAGGTGCCTTTTGCCCTGTGCCCGAACTGCTGCAGGCAATGCTTGAAGAGGTTAATGAGGGAACCACCACGTAATGGCTATACTGGCCCTGAGGCTTGCTGTTACCAACATCAGAGGCTAAATTACTATGCATGAGGCATACTTGACTAGACTTACATTTGCCCTTTTAGAACAGATTAAAGGTTTAGTGAAGTCTTGTGCTTCGGTTTCTGGCATCGCTGGAGTTTCTGATGAAGGGGCTTGCTTCAGCACAGCATCAGGTCAGCTTAGCCTCTGACTTCTTGGAATTAGCTATCTGAGATGTTGCTCATTTATTTGCAGCTGAAGAAAATTTTTGTTTCCCATCCTGCATCCCTCTTCTTGGCTTTTCCATCCTCGTGGATTTTCTAAGGTATTTCTCTTGGAAGGTGAAGATCATTTGCTTTTTTGACTTCTCAAGGTGCATTCTTCTTTTGGATGCAGAAGCTATGATGCCTGCATTAACTGGAGCTATTGTAAATAATGACTCCTCTATAGTCAGTCTCTATGTGCCCATAGGGACAGAAGAGCTCTGGAGTACTTCCTTAAGACTTTGGAGGATGCCATGTGGACAAATATGGACAAGAAGAATGTTATCTTTTCCAGACTTGTTCCCCGTGCCTCTTCCCTGCCTGGAAATGGACCCAGGTGTCCCTCTCCTGCACCCTGCAGACTGTGCTGTGGGGTCTGATGGGGATGCCCTTGTGCTCCTTAGGCTGTAGAGGAAAGAGGGGCACTGGAGTGTAACGGTTCATCGCCGAGTTAGTCTAAAGGTTGTGGGTGATGATAACTGTCAAGGTTGAGGAGCTTGTTAGCCCAGTCTTGTGTGATACTTTCTCCATGCAGCATTTAGTTTCTGGATCGGTGTGTTAGCCTTTCGTCTTTGGAGGTGTTTGTGACTGATTAAAAAGTAAGGGGTTTTTGGATGAATGGGAAGGGTAAGGAGGAAACCTTGTGCTGATTCCTCCTCCCCCATTTGTCATTCAGCCCTTCTGAGTATGTAATATAAGAGAAGGTGCCTCTTCAAAAGAGACATCGATTAGGAGGTGGCAAAGGTTTTTCATGTGTAAAATGATAGACATTATGTTTGGTTGAACTACTGTTAACTAAAACCCTATTGCTATTCTTATGAAACCTTAGTGAGTATTAAAATTCCTTTCTTTCTCATGAAAGAGTATGTTTTAAAAATCCTCTGTCTTGCATTTAGGATAGCAAATACTCTTGTAGTATTGGAGAAGTGAGAAGATAAGTGTTGTCACATGTGAGATTGTCCCCTTTTAGTTTCTCTGGATTGCATGAATTTATTTATTAGCATAATTTTAATCTATAGCATATCATACTACAGGTATGAGGGACACTGAATTTAATGTACTAGATCAAAGCTTAGAGGGTATGCAGATTGTTGGATACGTGCTCATACACGGTAACATACTTCTGTTTAACATACACACGTGAGGTTGATTATAGATAAAGATACCATATGATTGTTTTAAAATTTCCACCAAGTTTGGAAGCCCCCCTCACCTTTATGTCCTGGGTCACCTTTCCTGAATTGAGCAGCTGCTGTTCTTTATATGTCTAGGTGGTGCAGTGGGTCACCAGCTATGTCAAATCAGCAGAAACTCAGTCTCTGGCTTGATGGACATCAGCTTAACTGATTGTCAGATTTGGCTAGGCTGTTGCAGTGGTGTCACTGGGTAAGTGATCATCACTTTGCCAGAATGGGGACCCTTGGTATTGTACTGAGGCAGTGAACTCATCAGATATTCAGTTTTACTCTGTATATGTTAAAGTATTGACTTTCTCCTTAGAAAATGCTGGCAAGGCATCTGGGCCTTTGACTGCTTGCCAGTAATCTGAGTGTTGTTGTTATCTATAATTTGAATGTTAGTCTCTGTGTGTTTGCCAGCTGATAACTCACTTTGTCACCTTTCTGCATATACTTCCTGAGTGGCTGACTTTATTTCAAGAAGACTTGGTCAAGTATAAATTCTGAGTCTTGCGTAAAGCTGATGGAAACTTGAGATTTGTCTTTCATATCCTTCCAAAACCAAGCTGGAAGTAATTGCTAATATCCAGCAAAGAGGGTGCTGTGCTCTTGCTGTATTGGAAGGAGCCAAAAAGCTCTCTGTTAAGGTAAAATCCCTTTTAGGAGTTCTGATATAGCTCTTGAGGAGTGATCCTGTATGCACAGCTTTGGTCAAGTTTCTCCTCACAAAACTCTGTGCTTTGATGCAGACATTGAACTGGAGAGTTTTTAGACTGCTTCTTGCTCGAATGTACTTAATAGGCTTAGATTTAATACTGATAACTCTTTTTGATATGGGATCTCACGCTTGAGCTTCTTTATACACTTGTAGTATGGTCGCTTTTAAGGGAGTTGCTTTGATTGGCTCTAAGATGAAGGCTTACCCTTGCTGCAGCTGTGGGCTTCAACCAGCAGCTTCGGTTGGAGTTTGCTGTCTTCTTGTTGAGTTCATTGCTGCCCTGGCTGACCTTTCATCATGGGAACTGTCCTTTCAGCCCTGGCCCCTGCTGGTGCTTGGGCAGAGGATGCAGTCTCAGCTGGAGGAGCATACCTACTAAATTGTGTGGATCTGTGTGCTTATCTGTAAGAGTGTTAATTCCCTATTCTAGCTGAAAACTCTCAGGACAGGAGCAGTGGCCACCAATCCTGCACAGGTCGTATGGATGTTGTGCTGTCACAGCCCGGTGTGTTCTGGCAGCCTGACATGCCTGGTGTGTGGTGGGCGAGCTCAGGGCAGTCACTCTTTCTTTCTGCATTGGTTCCTTGCTTTGGCGTAAGCCTGCTCTGTGCTCCGGAGAGTCTGTGCTGCGGTGGCTGCCGGCCTTGCAGGATTGACTGATACCTTTGTTGAACCAAAGTTCTGTCCGTGGGTTCAGTTTAAGACATGCTCTTTCTTCCATACCCCACTTCCACTGCTCGTTCCTCTCTGCCTCCCAATTTTCTACTACTTAAGCAAGTTGGCCCAGTTGTAAGCTGTGCAATGCTTAATTCTCACAGCAGGAAGACAGCCCTGGGTCGACCAGAAGACTCAATACTGCACGTCTGTTTTGCTTTAAGGCTGGAGTGGTATCTGTAAGCCCTTAGGCGAAACGTAAAGTAAAAATTGATTTTTAGTTTGCTGTGCGTACGGTGCAAGGCAGAAGAAATATCTGTGTGTTCTTTAAGGCAGCGCAGCAATTTCCCTCTACGTGCTCATGTTCAAGTGTGGTTGAAAAGGCTTTGTTACTATGTAATATTAGTCAATAAAGTACAAAAAAAGTCAACAAAATCTTATGTTTATTATTAAAGTCTCTTCTCTGGGAGCTGGTACACAGCCATATTTTGAAAATCTAATATATACCAAGACAGAAGACTTTAAGAAGTCACCGTTTTGCTATTTTAAACATTTTTCTAGCTATATTTATTAATTGGTATGACCCGCAGAGGACTTCCAGACCCACTTGTGGTACTTCAGTTGAGCCATATGAGATGAATAAAGACAAGCGCTGTGATACAGGAGGAGGACTGCTGTTCTCAAAGGTACACCCCTGTGAGTGCACTGGTGCTTTTTTTTCTTAAGTGTGAAGATAGTTAAGTGTTGACCTAACATTTTAAGGAAATAAAAATTTTCCTGTTACCTGGCATCTTTAAACCAAACTTGTGACATCTTTAAGCCAAACTCAGATGACTTTGAAATATATGTCCTAGTTGAATCAGTGGGAATGCTATAAGTATGGCTGGGATGGCATGGGATTCTGGGTGCAGTGCTACTGGAGAGGTGAGATAAATCACCTATTAATTACTGGTTCTTCTGGTCTCAGAACCTAAACCTTTCCTTTGACACCGAAATGATATGTGTCAGAGTAGACTTCTGTTTCTGCTTCAGTGCAGGAGAAAATAAGCATAAATGTTGATATCTGAACTGTCAAGCGTAATTTTTATGGTTCAGACTCCATTGAGCTGAATCAAGCTTGCATCCTTGGCAGTTGTTTTGAGGATCTTTGCAGGCTGGGACAGAGAGCACAGTATCTTTTGCTTGCATTTGAGAAGTTGTGCTGGATGCCATTTTAGAGGCGATTAACACTGCAGCATAAAGTTGCAGGCACCAGGAAAACATACTGGCTGACGATGTTACACAGCTTGACTTCTGAACAAAATAGCATCAGTGTGAAATAAACAGATAACATGGATTTGACTAGAATTTTTTAGTAAGGTTAGGACAGCAATTCTAAAATACACTGTGCAGCCATCATTTGATAGTGGGGTTTTCTTGATATCCCATAATGTTTCAACTTTATGTATTGAAATTGCATTTGCTTTTTGTTTGCTCTGGCCACACGTAGTCACAGAGGAAAAAAAAGTCCTTTTATGAGGGCTCATGCTCTCAGCAGCGCAGCGTGGACTTAGCCTGTCATGCTGTCTTGATTGAACTGGAATTAGCTGTGACAATGTTGTTTAGCTTGGAACACAAACCTTTTCAGAGAGAGTTCACTAGTGCACTTTCATTACATTACTGCAATCAAAACCAAGTCTCTTACTCCTCTAAGTAATATTTCAGGTGCTTAATACAAATGACTTATTCTTTTGGTTTTAAGGAGCAAACATGACAGTTAAAAGCGTGCCTTTGAGGAAAGTTTTTTAGACATTCCAGTTACTTGTTATCCTGGTGAGGTATTATTTATGTATTTTCTTTTTCCATGCTTGAATTCTTCCTTTGTCTTTTCATTATTACCAGGAATAAGTCTGTGGCTTTTTTGCTGTAGAGTTATTTTCTCAGAACCCAACTTGGGATCTCACCTGAAGTCACTCTACTTCTCCTTTTATGGCATTGCAGCATCTTTTGGTGATGACAAAAGGAGCAGCTTATATAGCTCCAGTGACGGATAAATACTGTAAACTCATGGAATTGAATAGATCAGACTCGTGTTTGGATCCAGGGGTCTGACCAAGACCTTGCCTGCTCTCCTGCAATTTCCATTGCGGGGTTTAGCCTGATGAGCCATACCTTGTGGCAGGAGTGTCCTGCTTTCCTAGTCACTTGTTTTTCCTGGCTGGCCTTGAATCCTTTTAATTGGTGTAGTGTATTCATTTTGGTATGCTGACTATAATTGGGGTTTTTTGTACTTGATATTTTTGAGACAATAATATACTGTCTTGCCAGGTATTGGCAAGGGCAAGCTGAAGGAGTTTTTTGGTTTTATCAAGGAGGAGGAGTGTCTGGTATCTCGAGGACAGGTGAGGCTTTGGGCACTGCAGAACAGGACTCCCTGTTTTGTCTGCAAGGGCCAATAGGGCATTTTTTGTTCTGAGGAAGAACGGGATTTTGTTCCTTACTCACTAGCTCTGTCTCCACTTTGCTTGCCAACTATACCCTGCTTGCCATCTTCCTGACACTGTCTGTCACCAATGACAAGCACAAGAATTAGTCTGGAATTTATTTCTGAAATGACTGTCAGTGACATATCTGATACTGATGATTTCTTCTTTGTTTTAAAACTTCATTTAGATGAGTTGAGTGATTTTCACCTCTCTGAGTTACTGCTTTAGGCCATGCTCAGACCTAGGTGGGTGGTAGGTGCTGCATTAACATGTGTTCGGCTTACAAACTGATAGAGAGGGGACTTCACAATTACAATTCACAGAGATTTAAGTCCATGGAAGTGACACTTAAGTCTACTCTAAATCCCTTTTATACTGCCAGAATGGTAAGTACTTTCAGTGTAAATAACAGGCAGTATTAACATTGAAAAAAACCCACACCTTAGATCTGGAGTACAGTTATGTAGCAATTTAAAAATAAATCACAGTTATACAGTGTCTCATAGTTTATGTAATCTCAGCACACTTGGCATCCTGGTCTTTGTTTTCTGCTTTTCTTTACTATTGAAAGGATGTTTGTGTGCGTATACAGAAAAAAATTGTGCATATGTGCTTAAATGGGTGTGTTTCATCCTTAAAATGTGTTAAATAGGTCAAAGAACCTGTATTTCTTTATTTTAGTGCTGTCAAAGTGTGTATAAAAAGGGTATGTACCTACATATTAAAAATGAGCGAATTATTTTAAACTTACACAACCTAACGTCCACTCTCTTTTCTGTCTTACCTAATAGCGATGACCTGCTGCGAAGAGCTGCATGCCAAGAAGCCCAGGTAATACCGTTTAAAGTGATAAAATTAGATTAAAATCTCCCTCTTATCTTGGTTGTGCAGGGCTCCTGAGATTTTCCCAGTGGGCCTGCCCTACGTGACAAGCCTTACAATGATGCCATCTGTGTTCTTTTGCTAAAGTGCCAAAGAGTGGACGAGGCCTCCAGGCTGCAGCCGGGATACTGTACCTTTTGTGCCCTGACTGCTGTTGCAATGAATGGTGTAGTGTTATCGCTGGGGTAATCTTAGTTACTGCTGTAGCTACCCAGACCTCCATTTCTGCAGGTGTAATTGCTCTGTGCCCGTAAAGTTATGGTAGGAAGATGGTTTGTTGGTAAGACAGGAGACTGGAATCTCAGATCGACCATCAAGGATGTAGTCTGGGCAGAAGCAGTGCAAACCGCTTCATGTTAGTGCTCAGCTGGAGACGCCTTGCCCTTGTCTATTCGATCCTGAGTGACTTTATCAAGGATACTAAGTGTGATGACTGACCTTGTGCTTTTGAGACCTGTGTAGTGGGAACTTAATGGAGGCAATCTGTTTGCTGATCACTGACCAGAAAGCTAGTATTCAGAGAGGGACAGTTATATTCTGAGTGTATTGACTATTGCATTTTGTAGTTTGTGGCCTGCATGGGCGACCAGCAATGAACAAATTTTCCATACTCTAGTATTCCCATAAAGGAATCTTGTGCTTAATAAGCAGTCTTTCAGGGGCGCAAGTGCTGCTGCCCGTCGCTCCAATTACCTCGGTGGTGTGCTGTAGGATTTTAAGAGTCCTTCTAACTCCCACAAATAAAGTTTATTCTAAACCTGCTTCTCCATGCCAGATGTTGGAGATTTTGCAAGGTGTAACACTGCTTCCGTCATTGCTACGTACTGGGGCCTGAGAAGAATGGTGAAAATTATTTTTCTCATGAAAGAACTTTCCTTGAGATTACCCTGCTTCTGTCGTGCACCTGAATAATCCCAATTTTAGCCTGCCTGCTGTTGAGGGAAAGATATTCACAACAACTTGATTTGGGCAACAGAACTTCATGCCAGAATAGATGTAAGGGAGCTCAAGTCTTATGAAAGAATAAGAAAAATCTTTCCCTGAAAATATTGCTTTCATAAATCATACTTAGAGCTTCAGAGTCAAATGCATTTCCAACTCATAGTATCAGTTGTTCTTGATTTTTATGTTTTCAATATTCATTTTTACTGCATAATATCAAAGTGATAGAAGTTTTTTGTGTTGCCAAAAATAGCAGTTAATACCTTGGTATTTGAAGCATGCTGGCCAAATTAAAAAAAAAATTTAAAAGGCACTGATGAAATGGTATATAAGGAGAAGTTAAAAGACCTAGGTGTGTATGCTGTCAAAAAGATGTAACTTCTAAGGAAAGACTGGTACAAGAAGATGGTTCTGTTGTGGAAATTCTGACTTTCCTGTTTCTTAATTCCAGTCATGAAGTGATAAGATCTATTCCATTATGGCTTATTCTTAGAAATGAAAATGCAAAAGCACTGTCAATAGAGCTTCCTACAATTTCAGTGATTAAGGCCAGGGAAAATATCCTGCAGAAGACTCCTGTGTTAGAAGGGAATGAAGCAGAAAGCCTAGTAATCAATTCTTGCTGTAATTTCCATCCTTACTGATGTGTCAGTGCCAAATAATGCTTGAAAACACACAGCAATACAGCAGTAAGGCATTCAATGTCTGATGTGTTCTTCAGAGTAAGGACAATCTGTGATTGTTTGAAAAATGCTACTTGTGTTCATAGTACAGTATAAATATTGTGAAAAAATAGAGGCAGACTCACCCAAGAGAAAGTTTAGTGTGAGTGAAGTGGAGGGTTTTCCCTATTGTTTTTACATCAGATTTTTAAGTTTTTAAGGCTGTTACAACACCAAATTAATGAGGCAGCCAACTTCCCGCCAAAGTATCTGATACAGCAGTATTTCATGCAAAGACTCCACCATGCATGTCTGAATTTAAATACTAGTTTATGACGACAGCCTTGGCATGGCAAATGATCATAGCAGGATTCTACAATAACAAACTCATTTATCATATTTTAAACCTTTTACACCTCTTTCTCTGGAATAAGCCAGTGTCAGCTGACTGTGGACTTCCTTTGCAAATGTGGTCTCGCTGATTGACCTTGTTGTTACTGAACTCTGGGCATGTGTTAAAGAGGTCCTGTTTAGCTGGCAAATGATTCACTCAGTGAAGCAGGGATAGTTTTCTGTAAAGGAATGTAGTTTCTTTGTTAGTATTCATAAAGCATTATAAAACCTTTGTATAAAGGGTTTTTCATAGTTGCAAAATAGTGATTGTCATTTTTAGAAGTCCAGAAATGCAATACCTGGAAGTGTGCGTTTGACAAGGAAGTGAAAAAGGCATTGACTTTCCTAAATTATACCTTTGTATATATATTTAATAACCATTTTTAATGTCTGGCTTTAAGTTGCTTTCCTTATGTTGTGCTCTGAAAAAGAGACTTCTAGAATGTTACATTATTATTTTTTTATTTCCTGTCTTAAAAATCAGCATTTGCTTTAGAAATGCCCCTCTATGTAACATAGATGTCTAAGTGTATTACATAAAGATGTGATTATGTCATTACTCATAAATTCTTTATGAGCCTTGTTAGGTTGTTTAGAGCAAGCAAATGCATCGCATTGTGTGCCCGAAGCAAATAATTACTGGTTTCTAACAGCTGTAACGTGCTAGAGATCCCCTGTATTTCCCAATTCCCACCCAACAATTGTGATAAAATAAGTTGGTCTGTTTTCCACCTGATTTTTTTAGTAAAGCTTAAGAGCTGTTGATTTGTTTCACTTTCTTTGAAGATTCTTTACTCTCAGCAACTTCCTTCATCCTTTTCCTTTTTTGAAGAAAAAATGCGAATGTTTTAAGCAACATAGGCAGCTGCACACTTCTTTTAATTGAGGTTTCCTGAGCAAAGTTGGTGAGTGGAATTAATTATAAATTAAACAGCTAACGATCACTAAAATATACTGTGCTTTGTGTACAGTGTCCACCTTCTTCAATATAAAAATTCTTGCTGGGGGGATTAACTTCCAAGATAAATGGGGGAAAAAAAAAAACAGGGACAGTTGACTGTTCCTTGTGTTCAGCGCAGTGGTCTTTTGTTCCTACTTTATTTCTGAGGCTTCTGGATGGTACTGCTGAATACATTGTCATCCTTGTACTCAAAACCATTTTGATTTGGTGTGGTAGTGAGGATGTCTTTAGGTGACCTAAAAGAGGTTTACAGAGTGGGAAGTAACATGCATGGAAGCTTTGCCTTTTCTTGCCTCTCGTGTGCTAAAAGCCATGGAAATAGGTTCAAATGGCTAAAAGGTACAAGAAGCTATGTGGAGTAACTCTCGACGAATTTAAAATCGAGATACCTATTCAGAATTGGATTAAAAGTTGAAGAGGAATTAAATGATTTTTATGTGGAGACATTAGGAAGAAAAAATGTCTGAGAAACAGTGAGCTTGCTTATAGGTCAGAGCAAATTCTCTAGTGGTTATCTTTCATATCTTCAAAAGCTTAAGCGTAGAAAATACAAAAATGAGCAGAAGAGATATAAGAAAAGAAGTACAGAAGTGGAAAAAGATGCAGAAAGGAGGTGGCAGGCAGGTGTATGAGAATTACATAAAGAAGGAAAATCAAGTAACCTTGAAGTCAAGGATAGCTCCCTGGATCTCTGCCCATGGCAGAAAACCAGAGGTTGACAAAAACGAAGTGGTGGTGGAATTGTCAAAATGAGCTGAAGAGAACTTGTGACAGTGGTGTGAGCTGTTGCTAAGAGTGCAGGTCTTTGAATAGGAGACCTGTACAATGGCTGAAGATGGAAGTTGTTTGAATGTCATGAGGCTTGAAAGCCCATTGACATTTGTAGAGATGCATTATTTTGAACTGTTTTACCAATGTGCTTAAAAGCTAACCTGAAGTCTGCTCTTTTTCTCTTGCTTAGGCTTTTGGCAATCAGCTGATCCCTTCCAGTATGCCACTGAAGAAAGCAACAGTGTTCCTCAACCCAGCAGCTTGCAAAGGGTAAAATTCTCCCTCCCCTACGCTCATACGTGAGGCACTCTTTCTGTATTTTTGCTCTGCCATCCACTATAAAAGCCAGCCAGGTTTTTGAGCTCATTTTTGCCTCCCTCTGATGCCAAGCTGGTGCTGTGTAACTATGCCAAACTTTACTTCACCAAAAATATTGGGATGAGAAATAGAACTAGATGCTTGAGTTGAAAGAATGATTTCTAAACATATGTATATTTTTAATTTTTCTTTTATCCTATGTTTCGGCCTTTGTCATTCCTTCGTATGTGGAATTCCTTCGTATTCCTTCCAAACTTTTGTATGTGATGCATTTCTGTCCTCAAAAACTATAGAAATAAGAGATGACCTTGGTTGCTTCCAGACTTGAAGTTAGCCAGCAGTGATCTTACTTCTGTGGGAACCTGTCCTTGAGAGGGATGTGCCCACAGACTGGGAGGCTAAATATGGGCTCAGAGCAAGACTCCTGGAAGAGGTCGGCTGCTATTTTTGCATGCTCATTAGCAGAAAAAACAGTAATCTTGAATATGATGTGTATGTGCTTCTGCTGATCAGCTAAGCTTTGTGATAGTTGCATCTTGGGGAGAGGCAGGATGTTGTTAGTGACAATATGAAAAGGATAATGTATCTGACATGGAAGTCTTGGACTTCCGTGCTTTTGTTCAAAACACCCATGACTGGAAAATACAAAGTGTTAATAAATTAAGTCTCTGATTTCTAGTCTCGTGTTTCTATTTCTTGTAAACAATGGCATAATTAATGACATAATTATTTTATTATGCAGTTACAGGCAGAAAATGTATCAGTGCTATAACAAAAGAAGGTCAGATAAAATTTTACTTCTGAATTTATTTAATATATCACAGTAAATATTTTTCAAAAAATTTTTCTGAAAAACCTAAATGGGCCGCCTTTACGCTCTTAAAGCCTGGTGCTCTGTAAGTCATTAATTTTCTAATAAATTTCTTTCTGGAGATCTTGTTTTGTTTTGTTGGATTTTTAAAATTATTTTTGGAGAAGGCTAGATAGCCTCTTCTGCATTTATTAAAACTGCAACAAAAAACTGACATCTGAGATATGAGTCTAGAAATGTAATACATTTGAACCAAATGAAATCTCATCTTTGCTGACGGGCAGGCTGAGTGACTGATTGTATAGATTGTATGCTCATTTTTAAGTAGATTTCTTCTTGTTATTAATTTGTTTCTTTCCTTCTTAATTTTTCTAGCCACCAGACTAATGAAATAGTTTTTGCTCTGTTATTTCTAGCAAAGCCAGGAACCTTTTTGAAAAGAACGCTGCTCCAATTTTGCACTTATCTGGCTTGGATGTAACTGTGGTTAAGGTAAGAACTGATAGGTTCTGCTGATATAAATATATTGTCTGCTCTGCTTTGTCCTCTTGAGGAATTCAAATTAAATTCTGGCTGCATTTGAAGTTCTCAGTTGTCCTGTAGACATCTGGTGGGGAGAAATAAATACTGAAATATTAAGCTGGTACTTAATCTTTTTAATTTACAGTTAATTTACAAACTGTGTACTGAGTTTGTAATTTTCAGCTAAAGGAGTACATGTGCTTGTCTGTCTAAAGCAGCCCTCCTGTAATTCATGTTTGAGAGGAAACTAAATATTTGAGTGCTGGCTAGTGGTCTGTGTCCATCGCTGTTGAAATTGTCAATTCTGCCTGAACTTACAGAATTCAGAAGTGAGGAACTTTGACATGCAGTGGAACTGTTCAGTTTAATTAAAAATAACCTTTTATTTTTACACTGAAAATATCTTAGCGTATCCCAAAATAATTCAACATTCCCATCATGAAAGCAGAACACTGAGATCGAAATGGTGTGAATTAGCAGAGGGGTTTTCTTTGGAAAGAGAAGAACAAGTAAACATGAAGGAATTCTGATCTTTTTGCAGATTTTTGCGACTGTGATGTGGATTGTTTAATAGTCACGGTGTCCTAGCAGTGAAGTACTCTAATATGTATCTTTCTGTCTTGGAACATTTTTCACAAGGTTTACTGTTAAAATGCTGTTTTTATTAATGCCTTTCTCTGATCTTTGAAAATACATAAGAGAAAAAGTTATTTTGCAAGACTTAAAACTGATGCTTTGTAGCTTCAGACCTGACAAGTTAGCAAAACAGGGCTGGGCCAGTAACTGAGGCTGAGATGTCCCTGTAAAAGATGTTGATTTTGCAGAAAATGTTTTTGATGGTTTAGAAAGTCAGTGTACTCGTTACTGCCAAACCTGTTGTCAACAGCTTGCTGTCGGGCAGTAGCTTTTTATGTGGCTGATTCTGCATTTCAGGAGACACGCTTGAGCGCTTCGACTGCTAAAGATATTGGGACTTTTTCTGCAAGAGCATGGTGTGCTTGTGGTTTTCTTTCAGTGTAAAACTATCTGGAAATATGATTATTGCTGCGATATTCTAGATCTATTGAATAACATTTACTCTGATATGTCATTTAGCCTTTGTGTATGTGTTTGCTAGCACATACTGTATTGGCAGCAGACATAAGTTGAAGACATTTCAGTGAATGTAAGTAATATACAGTACTGTGTGCCTATATGAGAATAACTGTGCAGCAAATGGGTAGATAATTCTTTTTTTTTCTATAGAAGAGGAATCCTAGAAATAGTCACTTGAGTTCTCATGTTTGGATTTCTCTTTCTTCAGACTGATTATGAGGGACAAGCAAAAAAGCTGCTGGAATTGATGGAAAAAACAGATCTGATCATTATTGCAGGAGGAGATGGCACAGTACAAGAGGTACTGCAGGAGCTTTGTCCTGGTTTGTTGAGAATCATAGGCTGAGGGTGAGAAGATTGAGTCTGTGTAATGTAGCAACATCATAACAACTATTACTAGAGATTTGTCTATTTTAGTATCTGTGTTTTCAGTCAATATTATAATCTTTTGGGGACAAGAAAACTCTGCTAGTTGTTATTAGGCTAAAACTGATGATGCGAGTGGGGGCAGAAAGAGTTTGTGACATAACTATCTTCCAGAATTTTATTCTAGAATGAGAAAATTATTTGGGGACATATGATTCTAACTTTTTCTTTCTGTGTAATGGAGCTGTAATGGTTTAATTTCCAAAGTTCATTCCTATCTGTACTGCCTGAGAGGAATGCATGTTTTGCTAAGTGTGAATCAAATAATTTAAAAATTACTTGCAAGTGATAACAAAGCATGGTATGTATTTAATAAATTCTATTGTCAAGATGATTAATGACAGGAGCAAATTACCAGCAGAACTGGGGGATACTCTATTTTTCAAGGAAGGCTGTATTTTATTAAAATATTTCCTGGAATGCTAACTACTGGCTTCATAAGGCAATGGCTAAATGAAATGCAATGACCTTAAGAGAAAGTGGTCAGAATACATCTGCAAGTTTCTCCTGCTCTTAGAATTTATTATTGTTAATTGCACACTGACCAGTGCTATTTTTGCATTATGCAGAGCATTATTGAATGTTAAAACATTTACACTGGCATTGGTTGTGGTCCCAGCATATACTTGTGTGCACTCACAACTCTGCTATTTCCACCATGTTTGCACACTGAACATGCTTCCTTTCCCATGTAAGCAAGTGTAGCAGCTTTCGTAAAGGAGTAGCTGCTCCTTAAATCTTTTCCAAAAAGTAAATGTGGGTATGAATTTCATAGCATTGTAATGTAACTGAAAAACAAAATTCTCAGAGCTGAGCATTTCCCATGTTTTTTCAGGTCATAACTGGACTTCTCCGCAGAGCAGATGAGGTGAGGAAGTGTAATTTTTTTAATTTTGTTTATTTCTTAGGGGAAGTGTCTTGTGCATCCACTGTGATCTTTTGGTCTCAACTGTCTTCTACAGATACATTGCTTACTAATCTGGAGCCCGCTTGCTGCATAGTAAGTCAGCCATGCTAGTGTCCTGCAATTCTGCCCGTTGTTCTTCGTTCCTTTTCTCAGGGACTGCAATGGCTCCCAAGCCATGGCTTTGGAAAGTTTCCAGCATTAGAGCAGGGATTGTGGAGAAGCCAAATGCACAACTTTCAAAGCCCCATGGACCGGCTGTGTATGCTGCTTTGATTGGCAGAAGCATTGACCAAAAGTACCTGTTTTTCTTGTATTTTTACAGGCTTGAAAATGAATTCCGTTATGGCCGTGTTCCTATTGCTTTATGATTGCTTTGCCGTTTTTTCAAGCAGCGAATATCTACCTGTGCAGATGGCTGCAGAAGGCAAATTTTAACCTCTTAAGGTAGATCACCCCGAATGGAAATGAGAGAGATTTTTCTTTTTAAAGATGGAGGACAGTGTTATTGAAGAAGGGAGGGAGTCATTGTTCCCAAAACCTTCTGGCAGGAGCTGGCAAAAACTCAATTAAATGATCCAGACAAGATTATGATGATATCCTTGGCAGCTAGAATTGTATCTGTTTAGGCAGTTGCTTTGTTTGAATGTGACAAGAGAAACTCCGCAACCAAGCCAGTATTTTTAAAGGGCACTGGCTGTATCAATTCTGAGACATCAATTTCTTAAATTTAATATTATTATAGTTGGCCCCTGAGACCTCTATAATCTAAAGATACTGGAACAAAAGTTTTAGAGGCTTTACTGGCTAGTTTTTCTTCTCTATTTTTTGACTGAACTCCAGCTACATCAAGATAATGATTTGCAGTAGCGCAGAAAATTCTGCATCTGGCACTATTTCAGGCAGAATACTGCATTGTAGTATTGCCACGGTGTCACTTTATGTCTTTGGCCAGGGAATTCTTCTTGTCCTTCATATCACTCTGTCCGAGGAGTAGAGATCTGCAGTTCAGCCCCCTCACTCTGTGCTCTGCTTCCCTTTTTACTTGGGTATGTCATACCACTGTGGCCTGGATAAGAAGAGTCTGTCCAAGGTATCCCAGAAACGCTGTTCCTAGCGGCCAGGGGAGCAGACCATGACTGCATGAACTGCAAACAGCCTGTCGTCTGCACGCTGTAAAACAATTCTGAAGAAAATTAGAGTAGGGTGTTTGAGATGTGTTAAGACTTGCAGGTGACACAGAGAGAACAAGGGAGAGCAGGTGGGCATGAAGTGAGAGGGGTATTACTTAGTCCGTGCGGATTTGCAGTATTATGGTGCTGCTAGCAGCAGTGCCCAGGAAGGAGATGGTACATTGTGATATATGGTAGTTTACATTGATTTGCTGACACGCTTCAAGAAGCACAGTTTATTATGAGGTATAGTGTAATAACTTGCTCCTTCAACAAGCCCTTTTGCTGGACTGTGGTACAGAAAAATAACATGGTCAATGACTTCTGAAAATTAGACCTTCTGCTCCTTCATGATTTGGATGACAGAGGAATCAATTAATTTCCTTTCCTTAACTGAGAAAATCTCTTTGCCATGCAAGGTTACTCTATCAGAGGGGGATTTCTGTAATGGTAAATGAGATTCAGAGCTTGTGATGCCACCATCAGTATTAAGAAAGATGGCAGATTGCTGACAGAATCCATGCATTAGTTAGGACATGGCTGCCAACTTGCATGTAACAAAGCTCTTAATGATTACAGAGAGCTTCTTTATACCCAGTTGGCACTGGTGGGTTCACAGATTTGGGTGCCATGTTCTGAGTCATTATGTATTACTGCCTCATTTAAGGAAATGCCTGGCTGCTTAGTGCCAAAGGGGTGATATCAGACACAGCTGTGATCTCCACACAGAAAGGTTTTTTCAGCTGATGCAAATGTTAATTTACTCTCCTTATGTGTCCAGGCTGCCTTCAGTAAGATTCCTATAGGATTCATACCTCTTGGAAAGACCTGCACTCTGAGCCACACACTCTACCCTGAGAGCATGAACCAAGTTGAGTAAGTCTTACCTGTTTCTGAAAGGGGGCTTGTTTGTTTGTTTGTTTGTTTTCAAGGAACAGTGCTTACTTTTCTTTTTCTTCTATGTTACATAGAAGTTGGCAGTCTCTGGGCAGAGCCTAGTGAGTCTCTGGACTTGCATGAGTTAATAACTTCCAAAAACTGACTAAAAATTAAAAGAAGGAAATGTATGTATTATTAGAACATGAAATCATTTTCTGTGGCTAATTTCTCTGTGATTGTGTGATGCTCAGAGTTTAAAAAAAAAAAAAAAGGAGTAGAAGGATCAAGTCTTGTAGGAATAGTCAGAAAGGATATGACAAGGATATAGCAAAGATATGACAAAATAAAACAAGGAGAAGTCCTCTTTCCGTCCCTTCCCCAGCTTAAGAATTCTAGAAACCGGTCCACATATAACCTGGTTAGCACCTACAAAGTAAGGCATACAAGAATATCTTTATGGAAAAGGTTGGATCCCATTACTGACTGTTGCAGGGTTTCTTGCCCATCCCTATGACGGGACTGATACTGGCAACTCTCCAACAACCTGAATCTTACCTATCAACATTCTGGATATGATCCAGTCTGGCAGTATCTGTTGTCTGCATTTCAGTTTGTTGTAAGATTGTTTTGTCCACTTCTAAAGTAAAAAGGCTAGTCAACTAATCTTTCTTTTCCACACACTTCATTTCTTTTCAATTTTTCCCTTCCTTTCCTCCCATAGTAATGAATATATTTCTCCTTGCTCCTGAAATGTGTTCACTCTGGTTCTCCCAGTAACTCATTAACATTCTTCTTTGTGGAACCCTTGCTGGTACCCATCATACATAAAACCCACGAGCCAACTGGCATAACATCCTTCATTAAAAATACCAGAGTGCTTTGAAGCTCAGCAAGATGGACAAGGCTGTAATCAGCAGCTAACATTAAAATAATAATTTATGTTTGGGTTCTAAAGAAGCTGTTTGAAATGAATGATCTTCTTGTCCCAAGGCAATGAACTGTGCAGGTGAGACTGCAGCATATTGGTGAAGTTGAAAGGAATTTGGTCAATAGACTGCTTAACAACCCACAACAGTAACAGAGCCTGACTTAAGAAGTGCAGAAGTGATGTTTTAAAAGAAATATTTGGGATTTGGTTCCTTCAGCATTGTCTTACCTTTGGAGTGTAGGAGTTGTAGAGGTCTTACAGAAAGATAGAGTTAGGAGAAAAGAAGGGCTGAGGGAAGAACAGCTTTCTTCTCTGTCTCAGTGTTCTAATACTGATGAAGCCAAGGGCAATTTCTCCTACTGATTTGTGTGAATATTGGACTGGATCTGAAAACTGCATTTGGTTTTGGGTTTGTTTTGGTTTTTTTTCCCTGTCGAGCTGAGAGATTGGAAATGTGCGCAATGTGGAATTTAAATTTTACTGGACTTTGAAAACAAGGAAGAGTTTTTAATGAAATACATGCTTCAAGGTCTGAACATAGACTCCTTTCTGAACTTGAACACCTTGGTTACAAAATCTTTAGTGCCACACTTTACAACTTGAAATGAGAAAGTGCCTTAGCTACTGTCCACAACTTAATGGAGACCAAAACCATGTGAGCACTGCTGATAGGTAGATTTATGTTGATTAAAAACTTCAAAACAAATTAACATACTAATTCAATCCCAGACTCATGAATTGAGTCCAGTCTCATGGTCATCCACTTCTCTCCCAGCTTGTTATACTTGCCACCAATAAAAAAAACATGATTTGGGTCCGTAGTGTGTTAAATATACAAAACAGCAAGTAACAGAGTTGGCGTGTGATCTGCCAGATTAGCTGAAGAAGGAGGGATCTCGGAAACACTTAGGCTGAGAACTTCCTTCTGTTTCTCAGGTCTTTTGCTGTTTGTTAGGACATAGGCTTTGTCATGTGTTGCAGCCATTCAGTTGCTTTCTGATTTCAAGGGAGTGCAGCACTTTGTCAGAGTTCTTTCCCTGGGGTTGTTGTGTTTGCTGCAAAAAAGCCCCACCTGGACTCATAGTGGGATTTGCTGAAAAAACTGTAATTTTAAAGCTTACTCTTTTCCTTCCTTCCTATTTGTTTTCCTTTGCTTCTTTCCTGTTTGTTTTGCAGACATATTACTAATGCTACATTGGCCATTTTGAAAGGAGAGACAGTTCCACTTGATGTCTTGCAGATCAAGGTAAAAGCATCTGCTTATTTGGCACCCAGCATTCCTAAAACTTTCCTATTCTCATGTTGTTCTGTTTACATGGACTGCTTTTCCTCTCTGTAATGCTGTCATCAATTTTGGTGTATGATATCAGCAGTTCTGGTGACAGTCATTTCTCCACTGTATGCTGTGACATCAGATAGTCTAAACTGGAGAAAACACTAGAATGCCTGAACATCTTTTTTTGAGGCTCAGAGAGTACTGATGAATACAAAACTTACTAATACCAATATTTCTGCAGAAATGGTGAGAGATAACAATAGCTGTCTGAGCTGATTTAATGCATTCATATGTATTGTGGAGTTAATAGCTTTCTTTTACAAACTGAAAAATGTGAAACGGGAAAACTTTGACTATGCCCTGTATGGTTTTTGAATATTATTTTTCTGTTATGTTGTAGAATGGACATTTCTGCAGTCAGAACTTAGTGTCACTGCGCAGAGCTCCTTGCTTTTGGCTGATGATATCCACAAAATGAAATGGCTGTTGCTGGGTGTGCAGTCAAACTCAATCAACCTCTTCAAAACTTAACCTCTTATGTTCCTCTCTGGGAGCAGATGGAATGTATAACAGTTAAATTCTGCTTAACTTTATTGCTGTTAGCTATTTATCATGCCTCTTCTGTGAAATTTCACTTTTGGGATTAATTAGAAATCAGTTTTTATATAGAAATGATGTTTTTCTAGCTGCAAAAAACAAAGTTGGAAACAAGATAAGAGAAAGCAATTTCACGATGTTTATTTTTCTTTACAGGGAGAAAAGGAACAGCCTGTGTTTGCAGTGACTGGTTTAAGATGGGGATCTTACAGAGATGCAGGAGTTAAAATTAGCAAGTAAGAAAATACTGTTTTTTGAAGATGTACCTTTTTTAGCATCTGTTGCCTAAAAAGACAGACTCCCCTCTCCTAAAGAAGTCTTTTTTGAGTGTAGACATTTGACAGGCAGAGGCACCCACTCTTGTTAGGTCTTGTATTACACACATGGGAGTGTAAGACATTTCAGCATTTTTGTCATTTGAAATAAACACTTATTTGGTGCAGACTTGTTCTTTGAAGTATTTGCTGACCTGTTCTTTTAAGTATTTACTTTTTGCTTGCCTTGTGGTGCCCACTTCTGGAACTTTATTCAGATTGTATCAGTGGGAAAAGCTCTCCCTTGAGTAAAGTTTAAGTAAAGTAATTGGCCATTGTTTTTCATCAGCTGCCAATGAAAAGACGCATGCAGACTCTAACTCAGTTCCAACAAGGGACATCAGATGCAGTAGAAATGCCCTTCCGTTCCTGCCAGAAATGGCATGGACCATGCTTTGTGATGACTGTTCTCTGAATGCTAAACTCATAATTGTTGGTCTCTCTCCAAATGGACATTTAATATGCCACTGTCTGTGTATCAGATGACTAGCATTATCTGGCGAAGGAGCAGCAGGGCCAAAGCAGTTCATTTCTCAAACTGTTATGGAGGGACTGCAGCACATGCCTCTGCTTTGCAGCTATGAGGAAATACCATGTGTTTTGTGAATGAGCTGTTTTTGTCAGAAAGCAAGAGGTAGCACACCTCTGGAGTCTGTCTGGCAAATATTTGAGTAGGTTTGAGAGGTGATGCGGGATGGGGAAGATGCAGTAAATGGTTAGGGTGTTTATCCCTGGGAAGCAAGGGACATTCTTGACAGCTTGTGTAGCTGCTGACTTGGCTATGCTGCAGGCTTTCCTGCTAATTGCAGCCCCAAGATGGAGGAAGTGCACTTCTCTTCCCTCTGCACTCTTACTAGGCTTCCAACTCATACCCTGTTTTTTGCTTAGTGTCAACCTTCATGTCTTTTCCTGCAGCAGTTCTCTTTCCTAAGAGTCTTTTGGACTCAGTGCTGGAGGCATGACAGCACCTTTTGTCAGTGGGGCAGTGTGAGCATCTTCAAACCTTGTTCTCTTCCATGAATGTTTTCAAAGGCACAGAAAACATGCCCAGCTTGGAAGGCACTTCAGCCACAAATGAATGGGTGCTCAGAGCGTGCTTGGGCCAAGAACCATGTGCGCTTGTCCTGTTTTTAAACTTCTCCACTTCATCCACTTTTGGTCCTTGTGAGAGATGGGTGATTGGGCTAAATAAACATTCGGTATATTCCAGTACAACTGATCTTATACTGAAAAGAAGGCACCTACTACAAAGGGAGTTAAACCATAAACCACAGTTCCAGCAATCTGTCTGACTATCCCTCTGCTAAGTACTGTCCTGGTGGAGACATGGTGCTGGTTTATATTTTTGAGGTTTTATCATTTTACAGACAATTTCATGGCTTGGTGGGAGTGGTGTGACAGTTGCATGCCTTAGTAGTTAATGTCATACTTAGATTTGCAGTACTTTTGAGCTGATGGTGTTTAATGTGCTTTGTTGACCTTGTTTGGTGGAAGACAGTGATCAAAATGTGTGCCAAGCCTGCCTAAATATAGTCAGATCTTTAGATTCTATACAATGCTGTATGGCTGGCAGGATTTTTATTTTGTTTGTTTATTTTCATTGATTTTGATCTGAGAATCCTCTTGGGCAAATGAATGTTTGCTGGCTCTGTTCTTTTGTCACTGAAGCTGTTGATTTTTGTTTGTTTCCTCCAACCTCATTCTTTATTGTATATTGTGGAGATGCATCCCACCAGCTGTTAGACCACAGACCTTTAAATCATTCCCAGTTGTGTCACATGACTAGGTAAAATTCTGCTACTGAGATGTCACGCTGCCTGTAGAGAAGATTGTATACTGCGTTGTGGTGATCTGTAACTCAGGAAAGGGATGTCACTGCTAAGCTGCTCGTGATGTGTATAAACTATCTTACAGTATCGCAAAGCTAAAGGTTGTAGGGGAGCACTAACTTCAGTGGCAAACAAGTCTATGTGCTCTGACTTCATGCAAGATTTCTCCCTTTCCCAGTCGACCCCTGGATATCTTAGAAGTTCTGTTTGTGTTCTTTTTTCAGGTACTGGTACCTTGGGCCTCTGAAAACCAAAGCAGCTCACTTTTTCAGTACGTTTAAGGTAAAGAGGAATTGCGACAAAAGTGGTTTTGTAGTTGGGAAATGAAAAGGCTGACTATGCTTTGTATAATTTATCTGCAAGTTTTTGTGAAGGATTCTGGTAACAGTATAAAATGGAAGTGAAACTTGACTTTTTAAAAAAACTACCGATTGATAGACTTAACTTCTGAAGAGATGAAGGGGAGGAGGAACACTTAAAAGATTTCTTTACTGAAGATCTGTTGCTGCAAGATCACCAGGGGGAGCCAGTAACCACCTTTGAACCTGGAGAGCAGTAGTGGTGGTGAAGATAACCCTTAAAGTGCTCTGTCACCTTTTCTGAACAGTCTGTGTTATGGTAACATTTCATTCTGATTTATTCATGTGGCAGAAGTGTCTATAATTAGACTGCTCATGCACGTTAACAATCAGGCTTCCATGTGTAGTAAAATGAACATGAAGATTAATAGCTTATATCTCACCTTAAACTTCCCTCTTGCTTAAAATTGATCCTGGAAAGATTAAAACTTGACCTGCATGAAAGGTGAGGCATTTTCATTCACATGCTTTTCCTGTTCTCTGAACATATAATGAGCCTCACGAAAGGCTGTGGAAATACCCAGGAACTGGTACAGTAGATGAAATTGTGCAGTCCAGCCATTCTGTCTGTGATAGTGCCAATGCTTCATTTATAGGAAGCTGCTGTAAAGGGGAGTTAAATTGTAATGTGTCCATGAAAGATTTCCCTCCTCCCCGCCCCCCCCATCCCCAGGAAATTTGAGGTGATGATTCTGTGTGCTGGTGTTCTAGGTAGAAAACTATTCTTCATTTTTCTCCAGCCCCTTTCTCACTTTTGTTGAGTCCTTAGCCTCAGTTAGTGGCAGTGGTAGTGGATTTCACTGATGAGCTGTTCATTGTACACTAAAAAGATCTGGTTAACCTGCTAAAGGTTAAAGGGAAGTGGCCACTTTATCTGCTATTAAGATAGAAAAGTTTCTACCTGATCTTCCCTAATTGTGATATTCATTGCTTTATGTGCCTCTTATGTTATCATTTTGTTAGTTTCTGTAAGAAATGGTTCCAGCCTGTTTAGCTTAATCTCTTCCTGGCTTTTCTTTGCTGCTGTGCACTTCATCTTTCCTGGTTTTGCTGTGCTGTCCTTTGAAACAGGATGACCTGTAGCTGAAAACAGTGTAAGGGGAAAGAGCTCACCTCTGATATTGGCAGGGGCATTGTTATGAATGTTATCATCTCTTCTAAGATATACAGGCTTAAATTATCACAGCATTGCTGCTTTTCCCTTTAATCATTATGACTTATTGTTCATGTAATATCCTACTGATACAACCTCCATTTGTCCTGTTTATTATGCAAGTATGATAGTGGAGTCTTTCCTTGCTCTCAGAGGTGTGAGGCAAATTAGCTTAACAACCTGTGCTATATGATCCAAAACTATTTCTAAAGTTTTGTGATAGAAAAATAATTGTATTGAGTACATGTGGGATCTTGGCTGGGTTGTTTTAGTATATACATTCAAAAAACAATCATATTGTTCCCTGCACAAGTCCTATGTTTCAAGCATTTCAGAAATTATTTTTCGAACAAAATGAGAGGAAATAAACTTTGTCAGCATCTGGAAGTATTTCAGGAGCTAAGGTTCTTCTATAGTCCATCAGTTTCTGGCATTGGAATCTGAAATATCACAGAGATTGTGTTACTTATTTTCTCCCCCCCCTGGCTCTCCGATGCTTTATAAAGCTCACCTGACTTGCCTTAAGACCTGTTGTATTGCTGTTTATAAGCACCTGACTATAAGGTCAGATCTTGATTGTTTGAGTTATTGGAGAGCAAAAGCCTGCAAGGTTTTAGTGCCCCTTGGCTGCACACAACACCGTAGCCTTTCTCTGTTTGCACTAGACCCTGCTATGCAGTTGCTCTTTGAGGTTGCCTTTGTACCATACAGAAACCAATTGTGCTTTCAAACATTAATGTTGACCTTGCCAGTTTAGGTTGTTCCGTCCAGCCCGAAGCAGCTGTGTCACCCTGCCACACAGCAGCAGCAAAGAAAACATCCCTTTACGCTTTGCTTATAGAGAAGAAAATAACTCACTTCTGTGTGGGGAAGGAGTAGTTTAGTAGACTTGGGAACTGTGGGTAAACTTTTTCAAGCTGCAAAAATGTCATCTCACATATGAATTTGGAAGCTGGAGAGCCATAAAGTAGACTGAGGCGGTAGTGGGACTGGGTAGCTCTGCAGGAATACTCAGGAGCACAGAATAAATAAGCTAAAGGACTAAACAGAATAAACAGGTAGGTGCTAAACAAAAGGCCCTTTATCTTCTGTCTTTCCTTTCCATGTAAATCCAAGGAATGGCCTCAGAAGCATCAAGCTGCTCTCATGTATCTGGGTCCAACTGAGAGACCTCCAGAAGAGCCAGAGGAGAAACTGTCCAGACCTCCTTTGTATGTGAGGCTTTACAGACGGCTTCGGTTATACTGGTCACCTCCTTCGAAAGGTGAGATGTGTGTATTTTGGCGTAAACTCACAGGCAGGCTTTACTCCTCTAATAGATCAGAGGTGTTTTTTTTTTTCTTCTTTACTATTCTGATTTCTCATTTTTATATTATTGTTATTTATTATTTATTACAACTGTGACATTGTCAAGATAGTTACAGTGATATGTGCCAGAAATGGAACATAGTCCTGCCAGTGCTTGTGATCTCATAAACAAAAGTGCATTTGTAGAGAACCCAGGGCATTCCCTGGGCTCACAGTTGCTTGCCATTGCTATGGAAGCCTCCATAAATGATACTTGCCACTTATGGGCGAGCTTCTTGAAATCTTCCTCCTGTGGAATGGCTTCTTAGTGAGCTGGCGAGAGAGAGGAGCAGCCTTTGTTTTCCAGGGTGGGAGGAGTTGCTGACACAGAGCAACAGATGTTACTTAAAATAGAGCAATAAAACTTGGGCCATGCAGAATCCTTAAGTTTCTCTTAGTACATTGAATTTCTTTCTGTACCATAAATTTTCTTATGTGTGCTTGGTGTGTCTCTCTTGGATTGGGCTGTTAGCTAGGCAGTGAATGTGGCAGACTGCAGCAGGAAGGGGAGCGTGTATTTTGCGCAGTCTGGTGTGATGCAAAGTCCTTCTCGTTCCTTCTTGGCTAGCAGAGGTGATTTAGACAGGAGCGTGAACTAAGTGACCTGTATATGAGAACTGAACTGTGGAGTTTCCTCCTATAGAAAATACATGTTACCACAGTATCCTGAACATTGGATTCCTGGTTTTTTGGTAGCAGCACTTTATGTGTTTTCTAAATGTTCCTGATAATACTAACCCAGGAGATCTGTTAATCCCTGGGCATAAGGACTCACAGAGCTGCCATGTAATGTGCTTGGTAGTCTTTCCTGCTACTGTGTGAATGCTGGTGGTGATTTTTTCTTTCCTTCAGTACTCCCAAGCTCCTTTTCCTTTTTTAAGATTTTGACATTTGAAAGAAACAAAGCTAGTGGTCACAATGGATCAGAGTGATTTTTGTGGCTGGCATTGATGTTTCATGCTTCATAGCAGTGAAATGATGATCTGTGTAATTAAATTCCATTTAATGATATCTTCTCTTCTTGATTCGCAGAAATCCCCCAGGAGGTAACCCCAGAGGACTGGGAAGAACTGAAGCTATCCACCATTGAACTTTCCATTGCAACTCGGAACAGGCAGCTTGACCTGACAGTAAGACCATAGTATAACTGTATTGCAAATGCTGCCTGCACACACAGTTTTCCTTTCTTGCTAAACACCCATTCTTGTGTCTATATAAAATAAAACTTAATACCCCATCCAAGGAAGGGCCCATGACTGAATCCAGGAATGGGCCAGTTTCAGAGACAGTGTAAAAGCACTGGAGACCCAAGTAAAACTGAGATACAGTGGGATCAGGAAGAATTTGCACAATTAGAAGCCAAACAGAAGCTTTAGGATTATCCAGGAGAAAACAAAACATCAAAATAGGCACTCCTTTCCTTCTTGACCCATGGGAGAATGTTTCTGTTTTATCAGCTGGTGCTGGAAGGAAGCTGAGCCTGAATGTCTCCCTGGAATTGTGGCTTTTTCTCTCTCTTTTGGCTTGCAGAGCAGAGAGTTAGAAAGAACTGGGACTAGAGAAAGGACAGGGGCTACACTGAGTTGAAAGACAGGAAATGCAAGTGGTTGTGGAAGAATAGAACCAAGGGAGCAGGGGAACTGTTCCTGTCATAACCATCTCGGCATGCTCATGCTGTTCATTTAATGTTTTAAAACCTGTATTTGGCTTATGTCTGTGTTTTGGTGCAATTTTATTGCTGTGAAAGATACTTGGATAGATGTCAGTCTTTAATTTTACTGGAAAATGCTAACAGTGATCGCATGCTGGTGAGCTGCTCTTCATGTCTTCATGGCTGCAGGAAACTGCTGCCACTACATCCAGATTAACAGGAGGTGTTGAACTTACTGCAACGTGTTTCTGGCTGAGAATTCAGGGTCTTTAAGAACCTGAAAATTTGTGTTATATTGATATGTTATCTTTGTAGGATCAGAAAAAAACCCCACCAAAAACCCAGGCAAATCTATTCTTAAAATTTCCTCCTGTTTTCTCCTTAGAATGTATTGCATACATTTTAGTTCCTTCATCAGTGGCTTATGATTTGGACCACCAGTGTCCTAGTAATGGTAGAAGCTAGCTGGAGACTAGTAGTTGGGTATTTGGTTTTTTTAGTGGTTTCTGGATGGCACTTGAACAGAACAGTTTTCGCCACTGAACTGGATTTGAGTCAGTGATGTAAAATAAAAACAGATGTACCAAGAACTGAAAAAGTATCTTTTTGCCACAGACTAGCCCTTACGTTCTTTTTCTTTCTTCTTTTATGCCTTCAAGATGCACTTCAAAACTGGTATTGAACAAGAAGCAATGTACAATTCTCAGGTTTCTTGCATCCTAGAGAAATGGACAAGTTTATGTTGGGGCAGTTGTACTTTCCTGTTTCTAGAGCTGGAAGTATCTTGATACTGCATCTTATTTTTCCTACAGATATGGACCCCTTATAACTGCTTTTAACTCCCACTTTTGAAGCCATTGTCCCTGTAGCCATCAAAGATGAACAACAGCTCTCTTGAATTGATACCAGGGCATATCTTCTGAGTATTGTCAGCCACTCCTGTCTTTCTGTCTCACCTCAGATTCATGCCTAGGCTGCCCTGTCGAAGAGAAGCTGATAGAGCCATACAGGTGCAGCTCAGACAGTGCCAAGCCTACTTCTGCAGAGACAGCAAAGAAATAAAACAAGTTATACTAATAGATGCAGTTATTTTTACTTTTGTCATTTTGATTACATCTGCATTAGGATTTTTTGCCAGGACAAAAATGTTTAAATAAATAAATAAATAAAATAAATAAAA